AAAATAAAGAAGAATCAAAATCTTTTTTATTCTTTTTTCTTTTTTTTTTTTTTTGTTGTTGTTTTGGTGAAGAATGCTGAATATATTATAGATTGCCAAAAGAAAAAGAACAAGTATTTGTTAGAGGAAATGTAGCCAAGGGTGTTCCTTAAAGGCAAGGATGGTGAAACTTTGTCTCACGTATTTCCAGCATATTGTCACAGTAAGGATTGGCGGCAGCTGCAACACTGGACTTGAGGATGGCAGGGATGGTGAGGATAGGGCAGGGTTTTAGTTTGTTGTTCACATGGTCACTAGAGTCATAATCTTATTGACTGCCTTTAACAGCAGTAATCTTAGAACAGCACTCTGCCACATCTTACAGTATGTATGTCTTATAAAACCAGGAATAATGTGAATGTTTTAAGATTTTTACTTGTATCTTAGCTTAATTTAACAATTATTACTTTTTCCTGAGTAGAACTAATACTTCTAATTGTTAAAGCATACTTCTTTTTTTTTCCTGTAAAATAGAAACTTTTATTTAGAATTAAAGCAAATACTTCAGGATAACAAACACAATATTAAACTTCAAGAAATATGCTGCTAATGTGGAGTTAGCATTCATTTGCACAGTTAGAACATGCGGACACACACAGGAGGGAGAGACAACCCTGGGGTACCTCCTCTCATGGTGGGCTGGGGCCACTAGTCCTCCCTCTAGGAATCTAATCTCTGTGAAATGTGTAATCCTTGAAGGAGCCGTTGGGTCTCTTGGGGAGAAAGCTGAAGGTACAGAACAAGGCAGCTCTGTCATCTTGGTTTTTATGGAAGCAGATGAAGATGTGGTCCACTAGGAGCTGCTGCTCGGCCAACTCAAGGAGAACTGTCTTTGCTCCCTTCCAGCAAGCACCACCTTGGGTGCTCAACGTAGAGGATGCTACTGCTGAGCACAGCCCTCCAGGTGATGTGTTTGGCATCTGTGAGCCTAGACTGAACATTAAGAATTTGTGTCTTGTTGCTAGACACTAGTTTCTCTGTTAAATCCAGCCATCTATCAGAGTAAAATGAATTAGCTGAAAGATTGTGATCCCTCTGACTATTCCCCCGCCCACCTGGGATCTTCAGAGGTGGGTGAGGAGCATTAGGAACACCACCAAGTCCTTGGACCCAGATTACTACAGCAATTGAGAGAGATCCTGGAACTGTCACTGCTGCAGCTGCATGGCTGTGTGAGCTGAGGAGCCACATGGGGTGGCTGGAGAGGATGGTGCCCAGGGCTTATCCCCTTCCTTTTCTCTGGTGAAACAGTGGCTGTTGAGGATCTGCAGGGAGGATTTCACTATCCGGCCACTAGGGGTCCAAAACCAGGAAAACCTCCACTTCACCTGTCTGCATCGCCAACACTGCTCATCGTTTGCCAAAGCATACCTTTTTGTATTTTATGGTTAAGTGTTACAAATGTGAAAAGGAAGTACATAGGCAGTTCTCTTTTAATACTCTGACCATAATTTTGTGTCAAAGGATAAAGAATATATAACTCATTAGCTTTTTTTTTTCTTTTAGTCTTTTATCAAATACTTATTTTTATATTGTTCTTCCATGAATAGTTTATATATTCAGCTTAATTTTTAGCCATGTTGATTCTATGACAGCATATTCGCTCATTGTTTTTGTATCAGAAGAGACTCATATCTGACCCTTCAGCAGGTTTGAGTAGTCTATACATCACAAAAGAGGAGCCTGCCCACCTTTTGCCCATGGAGCAGCTGATTCAAACCAGGTGCCCCCTTTGGGTTAGCAGTGCAACTGGCTGTGGACTACAGGACCAGAGCTCCCTCGTATGACAGCCCAGTGTCTTTAATGAAAATCTGTGTCATGTTTTTCCTTCTTCCCAGGTGATTAATCTCACCCTTTAATCTCTTCTTTTCAAGTCCATAACCCCCTTTCAAAGCTTCTTATTGCATCAATAACCTAAATTAAAGCTGGATATTATATAGGAATCTAGAGCATTGAGAGGTCTTCACGTAAAACGTTCTAAATCGACTTCACCAAGCCTCCTTATATTGCCATGATTAAGGATTGCTTCTTTAAAAAAAGAATGGAAAAAGTTTCTTATTGCCCAAGATGTAATACTCTGACTCCAGCAGGTTGTCAATGATAGAATTGTAATGACTACTTTCCTTTTCTTTATAACCTTCAGATTATGTAGAAGCTGAAAGTTCCTATCGTCGAGCTCTTCAAACGTGCCCAGCCTGCTTCCAAAAAGAGAGGTCTATTCTGTTTTCAAATAGAGCTGCAGCAAGAATGAAGCAGGTATGTATCTTTGACCTTTTCTTTTTAATAAATAAATCTCTGATTGTTTCCATGAGATAATTTCTGTTCAGAAACCAACTTTTAAACTCAAAGTTGCTGCTTCCCTTTTCCAGCCCATACATATTCCTGATTAAAAAACCAACCAAACAAAAAGGAGAGGAAAAAACCCACAGAGATGGCAAAAGAATATTTTTGAGAACTTGAGTTAGATTGCTGTTAAAATTCCCCAGTAAAATCATTAAATGAATACTTTTATGGAAGGAAGACTAGGAAAGTTTTTGCTAAACTAGGCCAGGTTAATGAAGCAAGGAGCTAAGTAGCACATGTCCTAGAATAGCTGCAGATTCTTATTTTGGGCCTCTGGAATCATCAGTAAGGACTCAGAGGTGGAGGGAAACACAGACTAAAATTTTGGACTCAAAGATTATTGCTAAAATTCTGATTTTTTAAATTTTTTTTTTTTTTTACGTTAAAGCCATTAAGATTAATGCTCAACAGCTGGTATGAGAAGGGCCCTGTGTAATGTGCAGAACAGGTGTCTTGGGAAGTGCAAAAGCTTTGCTATTTCTGAAGGATCGATAGCCTAATATAATAGGTCAAATTTGGGAAATGTATTTGTTTTAGACTGCTGTATTAAAAATTAGATCGGAAGCATACTCGTCTGATAGTGGATTTTATTATTGAGTTGAAAGGATGAATTAGAAAACAATAATAGCACTTATGTACCTGTGGCTACTTATATCCAAAGTATAATAGGTAGGTTAATCAGCATGCCTTTAAACAACCAAGATTCAGGCTCATGATCAGATGAGATGGTTCATTATTTGTTTGCTTGTATAGATCAGCTACTTTTTGTCACTTTCTTTTTGGTTCTTCCTGAGTTTTAATACCTCTACCAAAATGACGTTGAACCCAGTGTTGTTCTGAGCCTCCTGTGTCACTCTGTCTTGCTGAGGGTCTTGCTCTTATTCTCCGACCCTCTACTTTACCAAGCATAGTGTCCTTCTTCAGGATAACTTCTTGAGGACAAGTTCACAATATTTGAGACAAAGTCTTATCATCCTTCTAAGAAGCACTCTGGCTGCACTTCTCATAGGACAGATTATTTTGTTCCCCCTGACAATCCATAATATATACAGAATTTTTCACCAATACCACAATTAGCAAAAATTCTTTAGTCTTCCTTATTCACTGTCGAACTAAAGAAGTCTTTTGAAACAAATTTCACTACAGTATACTATTTCCGTTGTCATTTTATTTCCATAAGCCTTCATTGATCCTGCGACATAGTCTATGCTGAAAGCTATAGTCTTTCATTTTTACCAGAAAATGCCTTAAGTCCTCTTCATATAGTCCTACCTCTCAGATTATTTGGTCAGCCTGCAGAGTAAATAAGTATGGTGAAAAGATAGAACCCTGATAAACACATTTCTTTAGTTTGAACCATAAGTAATTCTCTTGATTTGTTTAGTCACCTGGCACTTGATCTATGATTTACAGGTTGAAAAGTAGAATTTTTGAAAGGTAGGTTCGCAGACAGTCCCAAGATATATTCAGTATTCTTTGATGGCACCACAATTCAAAGACAAGGAGTTGGAGTCAGAAAATCAAAAGGGCTAAACTCGCTCAGCATATCTTAAGCTCAAGGAACTGAAAAACAAATTCAAACCTTGAGTTGCTATAATCAAGGATGCTTTCGGCAGAATATTAAATGATCCAGGAACTGTTAAAAGAAGATGGAAAGAATATACCAAGTCACTGTATTGAAAGGAATTGGCAGACACAGAAGAATTTCATGAAACAACATATGAGCAAGAGCCTATGGTGATGAAGGAAGACGTTCAAGCTACATTGAAGGAAATAGCAAAAAATAAGGCCCCAGGAATAGATGGTATACCAGTTGACATATTTCAGCTAACAGATGCTGCCCTGGACGTGCTTACCAAGTTGTGCCAAGAAGTCTGGAGCACAACCACTTGGCCAACTGACTGGGAAGAGATCTATATTTGTTCCTATCCCAAAGAAAGGTGACCCAACAGAGTGTGGAAACTGTAGAACAATATCATTGATTTCACATGCAAGCAGGTTTCTACTGAAGATTATCCAAAACGATTGGCACAGCACATCAGCAGAGAACTGCCAGAAGTCCAGGCTGGGTATAGAAGGGGTCGTGGTACTAGGGATATTATAGCTAATGTTGGCTGGATCTTAGTTGAAAGCAGGGAATACCAGCGGAATGTCTATCCGTGTTTCATTAACTATGCAAAGACATTTGACTGTGTGGATCATAACAAACTGTGGCTGACTCTGAGAAGAATGGGAATCCCAGAACACTTGATCGTGCTAATGAGAAACCTATACTTGGACCAAGAGGCAGTCCTCAGAACAGAGCAAGGAAACACTGCATGATTCAAAATTGGAAAGGGTGTATGCCAGGGATGTGTCCTGTCTCCATACCTTTTCAACCTGTATGCAGAACAGATTATCCGGAGTCTAGGCTCTATAAGGAGAAATGTGGTGTCAGGATATGTGGAAGATCTATCAACAATCTGTGTTATGCAGATGACACAACCCTGCTTGTTGAAACTGAGGAGGACCTGAAGCGCTTATTACAGAGGGTCAAGGACTGCAGCCTTCAATATAGATTGAGGCTTAATGTCAAGAAGACAAAAATTCTCACCACTGGACCAATTAGCAGCATCAGGATGGATGGTGAAGAGATTGGGATTGTTCACAGCTTTAGTTTGCTTGGCCCCACAGTCAACATTCTTGGCACCAGTAGCCAGGATATTAGAAGACATATTGCCATGGGAAAGTCTGCTGTTAGGGACCTCTCCAGAGTACTGAAGAGCAGTGGTGTCTCTGGAGAGTAAGGTGCATCTGATACAGGCCATGGTCTTTGCCATCAGTTGTTATGCATCGGAGAGTTGGACAATGACTAGGGAGAATAGAAGAATTGATGCCTTTGAGCTGTGGTTCTGGAGAAGAGTATTGAGGGTACCAGGGACTGCTAGGAAAACAATCAGATTCATCCTGGAAAGGGTTAAACCGGGCTGCTCCTTGAAGGCAAGGATTCTGAGGCTTCATCTAACATACTTTGGACATGTTGTAAGGAGGGACCAACCGGTCCTTGGAAAGGGACATCATGCTTGGTAGGGTGGAGGGGAAGGCCCTCTATGAGGTGGATTGATTCAGTGACTGGGGTAATCAGGATGGGTGTATCCGAGACAGTGGGATTGGCACAAGACAGAGCAGAGTTTAGGGCTGTTGTACATAGAGTCACAATGAGCCGCAAGCGACTTGACAGCACACAACAACAACAACTTCCTTAGTGATTGTCCAACTTTCACATGTGATTTGAGCAATGGAAAATACCATGGTTTGGGCTAGGTGCACCTTAATCTATAAACTAACATCTTTGCTCTTTAGTACTTTGAAGAGGTCCTTGACAGCAGATTTTTCCAGTGCAACACATCTTTTGTTTCTTTGACTGCTTCTTACATGGATGTTGATTTGAAGATCCAAGTAAAATGAAATTCTTAACATCTTTAATCTTCTCCATTTATCATGATGTTGCCTGTTGGTCCAGTTGTGAAGATTTTTTTGTTGTTGTTGTTGGTTTTGAAGTGTAATCCACACTGAAGACCATAGCACAGCTTGATGATAAGCCTCCCTCCAGTCTTAATGCCACATTCTTCATATAGTCCAACTTTGAAGGACTATTTGTTCAGCGTACAGATTGATTGTTACTGCAAAAGAATAAAAACTTAATGGACACCTTTTTTTTCTTTTACGATACCATGTTGTATCTCCCCGTTCTTTTGAATAGCTGCTTCTTGATTTGTGTACAGGTTCTCTGTGAGAACAACCAAATGTCTTTCCCATTCTTCACAGTATTATCTATAACTTATTATGATCCACACAGTTTAATTTGCATAGTCATCAAAACACAAATAAGCATCTTTGTTCTATTCTTACAGTCTTCCAAGATCTTTCTAACATCAACAGTGATACTCATCATTCAATACATTGAAGCTTGGTTAATAACTTCTTTTTTAAAAACTAATCCATTTGCTTTTAAGTTTAGAGCAGTTTTCCTGTTGGATCCTTTTTTCCTTACACATTCATGGCATTCCTGTTGACAGCACTTTCTATACAACTCTGTAGAATATAGAAAGAAAAGGGTGTAAGTTACAAGGAATTCTCAGAGCTAACTGTGACTTACTTCTTTCCTGAGAAAACATCCTGTCATTCTTAGACTGATTACTGTAATAGTGTTAACACTCTCTTTTAGCAATTAGGGAACAAGGCAGCGGGCCAGGCTCCCATTTTGGAGACAGCTGAAGACTAATGACAAGACAGAGTAGTTGGGAGGGAGCCACACTCTAGCTGTAGCTTCCCTGGGCTTAGGTCTTGCTTTCTTCTCTTGTCCTTTTGGGAAGAAGTTGTGTGAGACTTAACTATCCTGAACCTCAGTTCCCAGGATCTGTTTTTTTAAAAAAAAACAAACAAAACCGTTACAGAAATACTGTCCTCAGCTTACATCAGGAAAGCCATTTCTAATGGAAACACCAAGCCTTTTCTTGAAGAGGCCAAGAGGAAGTCTGAGTGTACACAACTGGCTCTCATTCTTGTCCAAGGATAGCATTGTTAGTGAGATTTTGTTCTGTGTGTTTTCTTCTTCAAAATAACATTAAGAGGACTGTTAAATGTTGTTTTTGTTATTGCTAATTTGCTGGTGATTCAGAACCAACTCAAAGCCGACCCTTCAGCAGGTTTTCAGAGACTGTAAATTGCATGGAAGGAGATTGCCCATCTTTTTTCCTACAGAACAGCTGGCGGATTTGAATTGTCTGCCTTTGTATTAGCAGAGAAACACCTTACCACAGGGCCACCCTACTATAAAATTAGAGACTTGAAAATATCCAGGATAAATGCCCTGGAGCATATGCTGTGCAGGCTCAGCAGCCTTGAGTTAAGTATCCCTGGCCAAGCTTTATATCTCTTGACTAGAAAGAGAGAGGGTAAACTGGAGTTACCAGGGAGTGTTAACCTCTGGGGCTAGATATAGATGAGCAAACACTCCTAAAAGAATGAGGTTTTTAAAGTAAGAAAGATAGTGAAACCTGATGTAGCTGGAACTTGCTACTTTGAATCCACCCAGCCAGCAACTATGGTAGAAACACCTGGTAATCTACTTCCGCCTGGTAATCTACTTCCGTAACAGAACAGCTTTGACAGCCTTGAGGAATGCAGTTCAACTCTGACACACATTGAGTCTCCATGGATCAGAAACAGGTCTACAGCCACAGGTTTGAGGATATGTCTGTGTTTGTGTATATATTATATATACAACAACAACATAGAAGAACGGTAAATAAGTTAATCTTTTTCCCCCACACACTCCACTTTGGAGACGACTGTTCTAAATGATAGATAATAATACCTGGGTTCCCTGGTTAATAGGTGAGTCTCAAACAAAGGATTCTGTGGTGAAATACCTTAACCATTGATCTAAAGAGGCTAATTGATAAGATTCACTGCCAATCATTAACAACTTCTAATTTGGGGAAAGTGGACATTTTGGAGTTAGAAAACATCTTAGATAGCATCCAGGTGTATATGTCTTGGATGAGAAATAGGAAGTGGCAAAGCAAACAGCAAGTTAGATAATACCTAGTGTTTATTATGCTTCTGGATTCAACAAATTAGTTAATCAAATCATTTGTTTGATCCATTGTTTTGCACATTTGTTTCATCAATTATTTTAAAGTAAAGTTTATAATTAAGACTAAAGACAAGCCACTCTATAAATAAATGAATTACTGTATACGTTCTGGAGCATACCACTTTAAGTTTTGATAGTATACTAACAATTAAAATTAAAAAAAGATCCACAAACCTATTGCCCTTGAGTCAATTCTGATTCCCAGTGAACCCCTGAGACAGAACCGCCCCATAAGGTTCCCATGGCTTTAATCTCTATGCACGTAGACTGTCACATCTTTCTTCTGTGGAGCAGCTGGTGGGTTCAAACTGCTTTATTCATTGCACTAAAAACCAATCCCTACAACTAACTAAAGCTGAGAATAGTTTGATTAATTGGCTATTTTCTCTGCTTATTTAGAAGTTTTCTAAATGCAGACATTCTAATATGCCTTATACATATCTACTTTAGGAGAGATGCTGTATCAGCTATTTACCGGAATCCTTTCTGATCTAAACTGTCCCATGTAATTTTGGGTTCTAGCTTGGAAGCAACATGCTTGTTTTCTTGTGATTTATGTGAAAAGCATTCTGCATCTCTCAAAAGCAGATGATTATTAGTGATCAACTCATATCATTAAGCCTTTAGGCCACTGAAGAAAGGACTAGGGTGACACATACTAATACTGTATTTCCTTTTAGGACAAGAAAGAGATGGCTCTCAGTGACTGCAGCAAAGGTACAGACTTCTTTGTCATCTTACATGTTACATGGAATTCAAGAACATTTCTGGTGCTAGACAGCCTAGTTTTCACCAAGTGTGCCCTCATATGTGTCCCCTTCTGGTACATGTATAGACGAGGCTTATATTTGTCTGAGGTCTCTTGTATAGTAATTGTCACCTTTGGATAAGCATGCCTTTGAATGGATAGCTCAATCCATTTCTCCTATAATTATAAATATATAAGAGACAGTTTCAAGGCACTTGGACACTCAAGAGTTTGTTGTTCGGTTTGGGTTTTTAGGTGGGGGTTGCAGGGGTTTCCATCCTCATGGTCTCCAAATTACTTCCCTTTGCATTCCAGATTTTAGCTGCTGTTAGACCATTTGCATTTGTTTATTTGGGTATTTTTGAGGGGGGTGAGCTCAGTATCTTGAGTTGTCATAACATTCTTCCATACCTACTTCTATCACTTTATTTCTTCTTTCAGATTCTATACATTGAATTAATCTCTTGCTACCTATTATTTGAGTTTCATTAAGACCTTTGCACTCCATCACCTTAAAAAAGACCTAAGATCACTTAGTTTGCTTTTGGTTTCCAAAATTTCCTGATAGGCTAGAGAGGTAACTTGCCTTTCAAACTTGGTGTGGAGAAGACTCATGCCCACTTATCATTGTGATCTTACTACTCTTGTTAGGTTTTCTAACTAATTACTGGATTTAGTTTCTACTTTCTTTTTTTATTAAAGATAATCCTAGAGTTGGAAAATACCTTATATGTTACCTAGTCCACTTGCCCTAAGCATGAATTCTTTATTCTGTTTCTTCTTTACATTCACCACCATCTCTACTGGCTTTTTTTTTTTTAAAAAAAAGACTATTTTCTTTATATTATCTTAATGAAATTGCCACTACATTAGAATCTAGACACTCCTTCTGTCTATTACTGTTATGAACTATAATTGGCTCTGAACATACACTTTGGCTTCAGAAGAAGGTGTCTGACCTGTCCCTTCTGACTAAGGTGTGTGGATTTGGATAGTTCAGAACATGCTACTGATTTTTAGAGCTTCTTTCCCTTTAACCAAATGGTAAGAAAATGCCTCATAAGCTTGATTGGCATAAGCAGTTCATTTCCAAATGTAGCCCTAACTGTAAGAAAGTTTGATTGAATCAACATTTTTCTTGGGTATATGGCATTGTGTCCATAGATAGAAGTACATTAAACATCCTCTACTGTTGAATCAGTTCCAACTTATAATGACTCTGTAGGATGGAAAAGAGCTGCCTCACAGGGTTTACAAGGCTAAAGCCTTGATTGAATCAGTCTGCCACATCTTTCTTCCAAAGAATAGCTAATGTGTTTCAACCATCGATGTTTGGGTGGCAGACAAGTGCTTTAATTGCTTTACTCATTAGCACTAGAGTTCCTTCCATTGATACGGGTGTGGTCTCTTTGCATAAAGGAGCACACGCATGCACACACATGCTCAGGTCATATATCTTCTTGGGAAAGAACTTATGCCTGAGGATCACATCAGAGCCCATAACTTGTCATCAGTCATATGCAGCACTGTCAATGCCAGTCACTTTACAGTTATCAACTTTGGCATAAAGTTTAAATCTGTTAGGTTTTTTTCCTTATAGATTAGGAAACAATACATAAGATATCTGTATTGTTTTTGAGGTGTTTGGTCTTGTAAATTAGGGGATTCGTTTTTTTTAAAGATAGTAGAGGTCTCTGGAGTGGTTTTTTTCTGTGGGAGTTATAATAGTAAATAGGGAGTTGTGCTCCCAAACCCAAATGCAGGTGGTTCACATCTCCAGCAGCTCCATGGAAAAATAAGGGCAATCACTCCGTGTGATTTACAGCCTCTGAAACTACTCTTTACGTTAGTTCTGACTCTACATCAATGCGTTTGAGGTTTCAGGGTAAAAGTTTTGTTTTGTTTTATTATTTTTTTGTGTGTACCATCAAATCGGATCTGACAGGTACAGGAGGACATTGTCCCTCCTTCTCCAGCAGAGCATCTGGTGGATTCAAACTGCATACCTCTGGGATTGCAGAGCAGCTTCTTGCCACTAGGCCACCAGAGCTCCCTAGGGTTTGTTTTTGCAACTGAGGATATTGTAAGGACGGGTGGCATACTGGTCAGAGGGGCTTTGACAGGCAGAAGTGACGATGTGGAATGCTCCAGACGTTTGGGGTTCTTCCAGAAAACTATCTGCTGACATGTTAGCCTATATAAATTGAAATATCATTTTTCTGATTTCTTCAGAGCAAATTTTATTAAAATGGAAAGAATTATCTCTCACTGCAGTCTCTACTTTTTCTTCTCATCCTCTCCTTACTCCATTTCTGTTAGGCTGCTTTCTGTTCATCCATGGCAGTCAGCAGTGTGCTTTCTTTTTGTTCTGTTTCATTGGCTATTCTTTGCTGTTGGGAATTCCCCCCTTGCCCCATCCACTTCAACATGTTGGAAGTCCCCACATCTTAATCTTATGTTAGGCCTTCCCCCCCCACTCCATTTTCCCCCTAGGTGATCTCATCCATTTCTGTTTACGTGCTTTAAATACCATCTTCATTCTAATGTTTATATCTAAAGTTCTAGATTCTTCTCTGTAGCCAAGTCTTATATCCTTTGACAAGCATAGCAGCATTTTTTGGATGCCTAAACGGCACCTCAAATTTCAGGTGCTCGGAACAGAACTGTGGTACCCATGCTCCCTCACTCCCCCCACCTTCGATAGATAGACATAGACACATGCACAACATGTAGTTCCCTCATGCTTGTTTTGTTTCACCATGGTATTAAATGGCAAAGTGATCCTTTGAAAATGTAAATCATCTTATGTCTTTAGCCTTCTTGAAACCCCTCCAGTAGGTTCTCATCGCACAGGAAAATCTAAATCCTTTCTCTGGCTAATAAGGCCCTCCATGATCTGGACCTTGCCTGCCTTTTCACTCGCGTCTGTTCCCTTTCCTCCAACTACACATTCACATGCCGAAGTTATTCTTGCTTTAAACCCTGTAAGTCCTTGTACACATTCCCCTGTTCCTTCAAATGACTGGCCTCTCTAATGTTTCCTCTTCATAGTATCTGGCCTCTCTGTGATGTTGCCACATTCCCCTTCACTTGTAATCACATTTCCTGGCTTTATTTTTCTTCAGGGCTCTGTTACTATCTAAAACTATGTACCCGTATGCTGTCTACGCTGGCCTACTAGGACAGCACAAAACTTCATGAGGCCAAGGGCCTGGTCTATTATGTAAACCATCGTACCTCCAAAGATATGTTACGTTAGATGCCCATAATATTTGCTAGATAAATATTCAGATTAAAATGTTGAGCTTAAGCACAGCAGAGATAGTGAGGATGGTGCAGGAGTGAGAAGGGTTTCTTTTGTTGCATAGAAGGTTCCATATGAGTTAGAGCCGACTCAGCAGCCTCTAACAACAACAGTGTGAATAGAAAGTTGGAGAGCTAATGAGACAGGTATCGGAGGGAATATGGAGTTGTTTGGTGCCCTCAAGTTGACTGCTATTTATAGTGATCCTAAGGACAAAAGATCAGAACCTTGCCCTGGACCGTCCTCATGATCTCTGTCATGCTCAGGCCCATTGTAGTCACTGTGTCACTCCGTTTCCTTAAGGGTCTTCCTCTCTTTACTGACTCTCTACCTGTCCCAGCATGATGATGTCCCTCTCCATGGACTAGTTCCTCCTGAAAATAAACCCAAAATAAGTGACATGAAGACTCACCATCCTTGCCTCTAGAGTAGTGATTCTTGCTTGATAAAGAGATGCTATAATGATTTCATGGTCCTAGAACAGTAGTTTGAAGAAACAACAGTTTAAGCTAAAAATGTAACCTCAATCAATAGCCGTGGCCTAGGAAAAAAGAGAATGACAGCAGAGTTTGCCACCCTCGCATTTTCTCTTACTCTTTCCTGTGCACTTAAGATAGGTGTTCTGGGCCAAGGACCAGGCAGAGTCAAGGATGGGGTATAGACCAGCTGTGACCCATACGCGAAACCCACATGTTTTTGTACAGACTGAAAGTGAAGAATAGGTTTGATATTTCAAATGGGGGAAAAAGAAGAAAAAAGAATAACATTTCATGACATGGGAAAAATTAGGTGGAATTCAAATTTCGGTGTCCATTTTTTTAAAAAAAGGCTTTATTGGAACAATCCCAAAATTGTTGGTAAAGCAGCATTGTGTAGCTGAAGGTATGTATGTGGACCATGTTTCTTCGTGGTAACAATTCTTTCTTTTCCTTCTACAGCAATTAATTTAAACCCCAGCTATATCAGGGCAATATTAAGAAGAGCAGAGTTGTATGAGAAGACAGACAAACTGGATGAAGCCTTAGAAGACTATAAATCTGTATTAGAAAAAGATCCATCAGTACATCAAGCAAGAGAAGCTTGTATGGTAAAACATAAATATATCTTTTCTTTTTCTTTTAAAAAAATATTTTCCTCATGTTTTGAGTGAAAGTTTACAGAACAAATTGGCATTTCATATCCATGCGAAAAGTGATTTTTTGTTCTTTCGTTGCCATCATGTCAGACTTGACTTGTAGCTGACCTGCCACTGGGAGATTTGAACTACCGGACAGGTGCCACTTTTGGGGTAGCATCACACCTATGGGCTGGAGTATTAACTGTCTTTAATTCCTGCAGTTGACAAAATATTTTATCTGAGAATTAAATTAGCCAAATGCAATTTATTTTGTCCCTTTTATGAATAATTTCAGGTTTGCCCTTCTAACTTTGTCACAATTTTTTATTCTCTTTACCTAAACAACAATGTGTAGAGCAAGATGTATATGCTACAGACTTGAACATATATGTGTGTTCGGGTAAGTCTGGTCAGGGAAGTAACAGATGTTCAAATAAGTTTGAGAAACAAGTACTTTAACAAGTTGACCAGGTTTCTTGCCTACCGGTCTCTTCAGGTAGCCATTAGAGTGAAGAGCTCCATTATGCATTTCCAGTATAATAAGAGTGATTGGTGGAGCAAAAAAAGGCTGCAAGCATTTTTTCATTTAAAGCAAACTTTCACATTGAAGCAAGAGTTTAACATTTTAAATAGTTTAGAAGATGCCGTGGTACTAAGGATATCATAGCTAATGTTAGATGGATCTAAGCAGAGATTGGCTTTTGACTGTGTGCATCACAACAAACTATGGCTGACTCTGAGAAGAATGGGAATCCCAGAGCACTTGATTGTGCTTATGCGAAACCTATACCAGGAGGCAGTTTTCAGAAAAGAGCAAGGAAACACTGCATCATTCAAAATCAGGAAGGGTGTATGCCACAGATATGTCCTATCTCCATACCTTTTCAATCTATATGTGGAACAGAACATCCAGAATGCTGGGCTCTATGAGGAGGAATGTGGCATTAGGATTGGAAGAAGACTCATCAGCAATCTGTGTTATGCAGATGATATAACACCCTGCTTGCTGAAACTGAGGAGGATGTAAAGCACTTGCTGCAGAAGGTCAAGGACTGCAACCTTAAATATAGATTGAAGCTCAACATTAAGAAAACAAAAGATCCTCACCACTGGGCCTATTGGCAGCATTGTGATAAACGGTAAAGAGATTAACATTGTTAACAGCTTTAGTTTGCTTGACTCCACAGTCAGCACTCTTGATACCAGCAGCGAGGAAATCAAAAGACAAATTGCGTTGGGAAAGTTTGCTGTCGGAGACCTCTCTAGCGTATTGAAGAGCAACAGTATCAGTCTAGAGACTAATCCAGGCTATGCTCTTTGCAATTACTTGTTATGCATCAGAAAGTTGGACAATGATTAGGGATGATAGAGAATTGATGCCTTTGAGCTGTGGTGCTGGAGAAGAGTACTGAATATACCACGGACTGCTAGGAAAACAAACAGGTTCATCTTGGGGAAGGTAAAACTAGGCTGCTCCTTGGAGGCAAAGATTCTGAAGCTTCGTCTGGCATATTTTGGGCGTATTGCAAGAAGTGCCTGGTCCTTGGAGAGGGACATCAGGCTTGGTAGGGTGGAGGGACAGTGCAGGAGAGTAAGACCCTTGATGAGATGGACTGATTCAGTGATTGAGGTAATGGAGGTACCTGTGTCAGATAATAAGGTTGGCACAGGATAGAGGAGGGTTCAGAGCTGTTGTACATAAGGTCACTATGATTCAACGGCACATAACAACAACAACAAAATGAAATTTTACTCTGTAAGAAATCCGGGTCTGATCATGAAAATGGAAAGATTTGGACACCCTTTGTTGTCATTGAATTCCTACACACTGGTGTTCAGCTAGAGCTCTTCCGTTCTAACACGAAGCTCACCACTTCCTGTTGCCTTAATCCATCTCCTTTACTCATTTACATTTCCTCTCTGGCCCCAGGAACTTTTAAACCCTGCTGTACAAAAGTTCATACTTATTTTGTGGGACAATTATTCCACAGAACAAATCTGGAGAATGTTTGCAGATCTCGGTCTGTGTTGATACCTGATTTTCCTCTTTTAAGAAAACTTCAAGTGGATACTTGCAATAGTAACATCCTTTCTTTTTCTTTTTTTCTTTTTTTTTTTTTTTTTT